CACCTGCTGGGCTCCGGTGATCCTTCCGTCTCAGCCTTCCAAGTAGTCGGAACTACAGGTGCGCACTACCACGCCCAGCTAATTTTTGATTTATTGTAGAGATGAGGTCTCGCTGCCCAGGCAGGTCTCAAACCTGCGGGCTCAGGCAATCCTCTCATCTCAGCCTCCCAAAGGCGCAGGATTACAGGCTGAGCCACCGAGCCCGGCTCTGAGTTCTACAGTCTTAAGCTGGCTCAGTGAAGAACCTGGGCAAGAGGTCTGCTCAAAGACTGTTCACCACTGTAAGAAGATATAAGCTTCACACAACTACTGAAATAGATGTTAGATGTACCTGAAACAAAGCTAAGAAATTCAAAACACAAGAATAATGTAGGATCTGGTATTTTCTCACAACTCAAACAAAAACAAAAATTAGACTCACCTACAATCCGTTGTCCATCTTCTGTTCTTAGCCGAACAATCTGCATCTTCACGTTAGTGCCACTGACAGATGCTAGAACACCCTCAACTTTTGTCCAGACACTCAGAACTGAACCACATAATACATAATATGTGCGGCAACGAAGACCTATTTCGCATACCAGTCCCAAACTCGCTTTTTTGCAATTACCACGCCTAAGAAAGACAAGAGGGAGAAATATACCTATGTGTATATGTGTATATATATACACACACACATACACACACACACACCCCAACCCACACCACAAATTTATATAAAGTTTACAGGGTCTATTCAAATTTCAAATGGAAAATGTTCAAGCATTGTTAGCTTTAACTGTTCCTTAGATTATGATACTTTTAACATATTAGATTATCACTTCCAATTTAAGGTATCAGTATTGATGTTTAAAACAACAGCTTTTTCAAGGGCTGCCTCCCTGTAAAAGGGCTGATTTACTGGTTTTGCTACCACTGCAGTATTTTAGCCATTTTAACATCCAGTGTCAGATGGGCTCAGTGACTCAGCCTGTAATCCCGCGCTTTGGGAGGCTGAGGTGAGTGGATTGCCTAAGCCCGCAGGTTCGAGACCCGCCTGGGCAACTTGGCGACACCTCATCTCTATAATAAATAAAAAATTAGCCGGGTGTGGTAGCGTGCGCCTGTAGTTCCAGCTACTTGGAAGGCTGAGGCAGAAGGATCGCTGGAGCCTAGCAGGTCGAGGCTGTGGTGGCCAGGAGCGGCCACTGCACTCCAGTCTGGGTGACAGAATGAGACTCCAACTCAAAAAAAAAAAATCCAGTGTCTTACTGTACTGTTAGCTTATAAAATAATCCTATTATGAAAAAAATTCCACACCTGTGAAAAGAAGGAAAAAAAAGATCTTGCCAGTTATTTCTAAATTATAAAACTACAGATACATTGTTCCAAATTAGACTAGTGGGAAAGGCTTCAGCAACTTAGTGGAGACAAACAAGAGGGAGAGAGAGGGAAAGAGATTACATGTCAATTTAAGAAGACCTCGGCCGGGTGGGGTGGCTCACACCTACAAACCCAGCACTTTGGGAGGCCGAGGTGAGAGGATTGCCTGAGTTCACAGGTTCGAAACTAGCCTGGGCAACTTGGCGAGACCTCATCTCTACAATAAATCAAAAAAGAAAAAATTAGCCAGGCATGATGGTGCATGCCTGTAGTTCTAGCTACTTGGAAGGCTGAGGTGGAAGGATCGCCTGAGCCTAGCAAGTCGAGGCAACAGTGGCTGTAAGCGTGCCACTGCCCTCCAGTTCAGGCAATAGAGTGAGGCTCCAACTCCAAAAAAAGTCCTCAGAAAAAAGGTAGACATACCAGTGTTATGATTAAAACTATTTTCAAACCGGGCTCAGTGGCTCAGCCTGTAATCCCACGCTTTGGGAGCCCAAGGTGAGTGAATTGCCTGAATCCGCGGGTTCGAGACCCACCTGGGCAACGTGGCGATATCTCATCTCTACAATAAAAAAATAAAAAAAAAAAAATCAGCCGGGCGTGGTAGTGCGCGCCTGTAGTTCCAGCTACTTGGAAGGCTGAGGTGGATGGATCGCTGGAGCCCAGCAGGCCGAGGCCGGGAGCAGCTACTGCACTCCAGTCTGGGCGACAGAGTGAGACTCCAACTCAAACAACAACAACAACAAAAAAAACCTATTTCACAATTCATCAATAAGGATATCCTTCTGGTTAGTACTAATTCAAGATAAATGTAATACACAGAGTTAAATGTTTTAGAGGACTTCCGTAAGTTTAACTTTTAAAACATTTTATCTTAATTTTCCTAATTTTCTACAGCACTAATTTATTCTCAAAATGTAAAAACATCACCCACCTCAAAGCAAACAAATCTACTTGAATAATGAGTCCAAACAAATCAAACCAAAACAACCCTAAGCTAAAAGTCTTTACATCCTACTACATTCCTTTTTCATAAAGTGAGCCAGATACTGCAAGAGCATTAACTACTGCATGGGTGAGAAAGCAGAGAAGACAGAATTCAGATCTGCTGACAGTAGAATTATCTGTACTAGGTCCTGAAGTACACACTGTAAAGGGGTGACTGGGGGCACAGCGGGACTGACCACAGGACTAAGTACCATCACGTCTTTTCATGCTGTGTAGCTACTTTAGGCATCTCTCTGGTTTCTTAGAAGTTCTCTAGATCTGGGACACCAGTGAAGCTTTTTATAAAGAGAGGAAGCAATAAAGGGAAGGAGCCAGGTGCAGTGCCATGTGCCTATAGTCCCAGCTACTTGAGAGGCTGAAGTGGGAGGATGTCTTGAGCCCAAGAGTTCAAGGCCACAGTGCACTATGCCAGGGTAAAATAACGAGACTTACCTCTTAAAAAAAAAGGAAAAATAAAAAAATAAAATGCAAGAGAATGAGAAAAAGCAAGTTCTAACATTAAGAATAACAGTTCAGCCGGGCTCGGTGGCTCAGCCTGTAATCTCGCGACTTTGGGAGGCTGAGGTGAGTGGATTGCCTGAGCCTGCGGGTTCGAGACCCGCCTGGGCAGCAAGACCTCATCTCTACAATAAATAAAAAAATCAGCTGGGCGTGGTAGCACATGCCTGTAATTCCTGCTACTTAGAAGGCTGAGGCGGAAGGATTGCCGGAGCCCAGCAGGCAAGGCTGCAATGGCCGGGAGTGGCCACTGCACTCCAGTCTGGGCGACAGAGTGAGACTCCAACTCAAAAAAAAAAAAACAAAAACAGTTCATATTCTGCCAGACAACAGTTGGAAATAACCAAGAATCAATGAACAGCAGAGGAGATACATAAGCTAAATAATATCTATTCCACAAACATCAATAAATATTCCTGATGAAATGAGCCAAGTCTAACAATAATCAATCTGTTCAATGACTTATAAAGAAATATTGATACAGAGTGAAGGTGTGTGTACGTAAATCTTGCAAACACTTTAGAAAACATGCTAAGAAACATGAAAATACTAACCAGTAAGCATGAGTACAAGTATCTGCAGATGAATTATACTGATCTAACCAGTGCACCAGGGCATCATCTGAGACTACCTACAAAAAGAAGAGAAAAATTTTACTCAAACAGTTTTGCTTTAAATAAACTGACGTAGAGTTCTGTGTTCTGAACAGCAAGCTAAACAAACAAACAAACAAATAAAATATAAATACATAAATAAATCAGCTGGGCTCGGTGGCTCAGTCTGTAATCCCGCGCCTTTGGGAGGCTAAGGTGAGTGAATTGCATGAGCCCGTGGGTTCGAGACCCGCCTGGGCAACTTGGCGAGCCCTCATCTCTACAATAAAATCAAAAAGATTAGCTGGGCGTGGTAGCGCGCGCCTGTAGTTCCAGTTACTTGGAAGGCTGAGGCGGAAGGATCACCAGAGCCCAGCAGGTTGAGGCTGCGGTGGCCAGGAGCGGCCACTGCACTGCAGTCTGGGTGACAGAGCGAGACTCCAACTCAAAAATAAATAAATAAATAAATAAATCAGTTACCCAATCTGGAGTGAGACTCCAACTCAAAAATAAATAAGTAAATAAATAAATAAATAAATAAATAAATCACCCAATCTGGTTTGTAATTTTAGAGACAGCTGACTTAAAATTATCCCTAAAAAATATACCTAGTCCTTGCCATTAGGTGAATTCAAATATCATTTGAAAATTTTTCCCATGATGGTAACTCTCATGTAATAAATTTTTCAAATAAATACCATAATTATAATTATTTTCAAATGAGAATGACTAGGAACAATAATACAGGGAAGTACTAATAACAAAATAAAAACAAACAATAATGTTAGGAAAAACATAGTCATTTACTGTTTTCTGGAAATCAGCAAAACATAAACATAGAGGCATGCCCACAATAAAACCAAGAGGTGTTTGGAAAAAATTTCAGTTTTGCACATATTCTTTAATAAAAAAAATTCTAATTTTGTGACCAGTATTGAAAGTTTCCTTTACTGACAACAAAAGTTGTGTCAAATAATTGTCTTACAAGTTTTAATGGCTGTGATAACATTAAAAAAATAGGATACTAGTAGAATAAAACTTGATATTTTCCTTTAAACATTAACCAAATAAGAAAAATTGACAAAATTCTTTTATATCTAGACACAGTTATCCTAAACAATTTAAATATATCATTAGATAATGAATATTCATAGGCAATATAATGTATAAACAATGAAATACCTTCTTGTATTTCTTTTTTAGATCAGCATAAATTTCTAATTTAAGCTGTTTCCCAGTATTTGGTCGATAAACTAAGAAAAGTTTCTTTTTAGGGTTCACTTCTTTAACCAAGATGGCAGTTTTCTTGTTGTTCCTTATCTATTAAAAAAAAAAAAGAAAATATAAATATTTGATACTATACACTTTAAGACGTTTTTGTAACATTGCATCAGCAAATAATACTATAAAGAATAATCATTAACAATTCTAACACCAAATAAGTACATGGATATGTAACTTCAAGAAATGACCATAACTGCATGTTTAAAAGTTTTAGCAGACAGGCGCGGTGGCTCACCAATGTTGTCCCAGTAATTTGGGAGACTGAGGTGAGAGAACTGCCTGAATCCAAGGGTTCCAGGCAGGAACAGTGGGGCGTGGCCATAGTTCCAGCTACTTGGAAGGCTGAGGTGGAAGGACTGCCTGAGCCCAGCAGGTCGATGCTGCAGTGGCTGTGAGCGTCACACTGCACTCCAGTCAAAGCAACAGAGTGAGACTCTGACTCAAAAGTATATGAATAAATAAAAGACTTTGGTAATGGTAGATCCAAAAGGCAGTTATTAGACTTTAATTTTGACTAAAGAAGTAGGCTAAGAGCCTACTTGTCTTCAGAAAACTGAAATGAGCTTTAGGGCACAAATGTACAGATTCCATTCTCTGTATGTGAAATCACAGACAACTTCAGAGAAACAAGAAAAGCAAGTGCTGATACAATATTAAAAGAAGAATCTAGGTAGTGGGCAGTAGAGTCTTCAAAGAAAAATTCTTTCATCTCTGTTATATGTTTTAAACTTTTCACAATAAAATAATGAAAAAACGGTTACACTCCTTCAACTTACAGTGAAAGCTGAGTCCCTCCCTCACACAAGATAATGCCTTACATGGCCCCCAGGTTCCTGCATTTGCCTACTCCTTCAGTGCTACCTTTCTCTACATCACAGGGTGTTAAGGAGTGAAATGAGATCACACAACAGTGTTCTTTCTCTTTTTCTTTTTTTTTTAGTTCGGGTCTCACTCTGTCACAGGCTGGAGTGCAGTGGCACTATCATGGTTCACTATAGGCTTGACCGTCTGGGCTCAGGTGCTCCTTCTGCTGCAACCTTCTCAGTAGCTGGGACTACAGGTGCATGATATTTTTTTTTTTCCTGAGTTGGAGTCTCACTCTGTTCCCCAGGTCACAGTGCAATGGGGCACACTCACGGCCACTTCAGTGTCGACATGCTGGGTTCCAGTGAACCTTTCATCAGCCTTCCAAGTAGCTAGAACTAAAGGCATGTGCTATCATGATTGGCTTCATTCATTCACTCATTCATTCACTCAAGAGACAAGGTCTCACCAAGTTGTCCAGGCTGGTCTCGAACCTATGGGCTAAGGCAATCCACTTGCCTTGGCCTCCTGAAGTGCTGGTATTATAGCCTCCTCAGGCTCTCAGATAGTTGGAACCATAGGTATGTACCACCATGCCTGGCTAAGTTTTTTTTTGAAAGCAGGATTTATTGAGAGAACAGAAAAGCTCCCAGTGAGAGGGGACCTGAAGGGGCTGCCCAATTTTTAAAAATTTATTGTAGAGATGAGGTCTTGCAAAGTTGCCCAGGCGAATCTCAAACTCCTGGACTCAATCCTCTCACCTCTGCCTTCCAAAGCGCTGGGATTACAAGCATGAGCCACCATGCCTAGTTATTTTTTTAATTTTTAATTTTTTTTTGTGTTGGATCTCACTCTGTCGACCAGACTGCAGTGCAGGGGCATGCTTCTGGCCACCACAGCCTCACCCTGTTGGGTTCCAGCAATCCTTCTGCCTCAGCCTTCCAAGTAGCTGGAATTATAGGTGCGCGCTACTACGCCCAGCTAATATTGATTTATTGTGAGACATGGTCTGACCAAGTTGCCCAGGCGGGTCATGAACCCATGGGGCTCAGGCAATCCACTCACCTCGGCCCCCCAAAGTGCTAGGATTACAGGCTGAGCCACTGAGCCCGGCCATTTAAAAAAAAAATTTTTTTTTTTTTGAGTTGGAGTCTCACACTGTCACCCAGACTGGAATGCAGTGGTTGGCCCGCAGCCTCGACCTGCTGGGCTCCAGCAATCCTTCCGCCTCAGCCTTCCAAGTAGCAGGAACTACAGGCGCACGGTATCACACCTGGCTAATTTTTTTGATTTATTGTAGAGATGAGGTCTCGCCTGCCCAGGGGGGTCTCGAATCCATGGGCTCAGGCAATCCACTCACCTCAGCCTCCCAAAGGCGTGGGATTACAGGTTGAGCCACCAAGCCCAGCTTAAAAATTTTTTATAGAAAAGAGATCTCACAGCCAGGCTTGGTGGCTCAGCCTGTAACCCCGCGCCTTTGAGAGGCTGAGGTGAGTGAATTCCCTGAGCACGCGGGTTCGAGACCCGCCTGGGCAACTTGGCGAGACCTCATCTCTACAATA